AAATTGTCACCGAGATGTATACTTGTGTAAAAATTAAATAACTGTAATCAAGCAAAACTAAACTAAGGTCCAGATTTCTTCTTCTATCGACAAGAGCATTATTACAACACAAATATAATTCCTAAAAGAAAGGAAGCAGGTCTCACAGAGTCAAATTCAAATACCAAAACCTCACTGAACTGTTGAGCCGCCTTTGTAACCCCGCATTGAGCCTTACCGTCGTAAGTTTCGGGCCTGCTCTGCTTCATCTGGGGGGGCGTCGTCGGGCGGGGGGTCTCTTTGGGGGGGAGGGCAGCGGGTTAGTCAGGTCTAAGCGTTAATCATAAGGTATGGTAACCTTCTTTCAAAAGGCTTCCCAGAGGTAACAAATAACAAGAAGCTAGTCAAATAAGTAAAGAGACTGATGAACTACAGTAAAATAACTGTCAGCATACAGCAAATGTTAAATACTGAAACAGGGCACAAGGAAGCAAATGTTTGATGTACTCACTATTAAGGGTGATCGAGCCGTCCGTCTCCGCAATGGAGTTCTTGGAGATGCACTTGTACATTCCAAAGTCCCCGTCGTCCAAATCTGTTAGTAGTGGACATTTGAAGTTCCTTGAAGGGGTTTGTTTCCAAGACCTATAGTCTCAGTAATATTTAGATATATGTTTCAGTTATATACTATACTTGAATGAGAACATCATTATGTAAGGAGGAAATATACAGCGATATCCCACAAATGCCTCTAAGACAACAAACCACACAGGCGCCGTCCCTTCGGCGCAACGTCGGCCAGAGCCTCACCTCGGATGTCGAGTATCATATGAATCTTATAATGGTTCTCGAGCGTCTGCGTGGTAATCCTGGACGTGTTCATGACCATGGCGTCGTTGAACTCCCAGTACGTAATGGCCTTCGGGTGCGCCTCCACGAAGCACTCGAGGCGGACGTTGGTGCCTTTGGGCGCACCCACAAGCTGGTTCGGGACGTGCATCTGTGGGGCGACTGCAGCGGAGAGAGAACTCAGTCATTGATCTCGAATTGACCGTCATCACTGATGATTTTATTCATATAACCATAAGCCGTCTTTTCGAAGGTTACGGCCAACGCGACACCTCGCACGCGACAGGCATTGTATAGGCAGTAACATTTATCAAGTTGCAAGATGAATTCCTTCTACCTCGGTTATTTTCATGCATAGTCGTACCTAAATTCGATATCTACAAAACAGCACAAGCCACCATATATTATCAAAAGCCATCTAAGATATCATATTACAAAATACTGTATGCCAGTCGTTGCTGTTGATTTTTTCGTTTTTCTTCTTTTCTTTTATCATTATTATCATCATCATCATCGCTATTATCATTATTATCATTATCATTATTATGATTATTGTTATTATCATTATTACTATTATTATCATTATTATTGTTGTTATTATTATTATTATTATTATCATTATTATTATTATTATTATTATTATTATTATTATTATTATCATTATTATCATTATTATTATTATTATTATTATTGTTATCATTATTACTATTATTACTACTGTTCTTCCCCTCCATCTCCTCCATCTTTTGCTTCTTCTTCTTCTTATTATTATCATTATGATTATCATTATTATTATTATCAATACTATTATTATTACTATTACTATTACTATTACTATTACTATTATTATTATTATTATTATTATTATTGTCATTATCATTCTTCTTCTTATTCTTCTTATTCTTCTTCTTATTATTATTATCATCATTATTATCATTATTATCATCATTATCATTCTTCATCTTCTTCTTCTTCTTCTTGTTATTATTATTACTACTGTTCTTCTCCTCCATCTTCTTCTTCTTATTATTATTGATAATAATGATAATAATAATAATAATAATAATAATAATAATATTAACAATAATAATGATAATAATGATAATAATAATGACGATGATAATAATCATAATAATGATAGTAATGACAATCATCATCATCATCATCATTATCATTTTATTATTATCAATATCATTAAAACATATATAATTATAATTAACACTAATATGGTTTAATTTATTTTTGATAATCGTTATCATTATCATCCTCACCATCATCATTGTTATTACTAACATTTCTCATCATTATTATCACTAATATACTTACACTGTGATCGTTTTATCTCATCCGTTTCTGTCCTTTTATTTGCCCACTGTGTCTGATCTATCAATATCCCTAAAACCGATGCCTCTTGAGCATAATTGGTGTCAAAGATATATCAACAGCAAAAGGAAGACAAAGCTTGTGTAATAACGTAGTGAGATCCTATTGGACTTTTCGTACAATAAGTTGGACTTCGCCTCTTCTGTGCTGACCAGAATTCCTTCCAGGATGCAGAGGGAATTGAATTTTTTTTTTTCTACGAAGCATTTGAGAGGAACTGTGTGAGAAGCATTCTTAAATGCAGATCTTAATATTCGTGAAATAATGGCCCAACATCAACCATTTTCTGACTCTCGGCCTGATTTACGAGCGAAGGACCCGAGAAAAATCCCCGCGCGTCACGAAGCACGGAAAGGCAGACAAGAGCGAAGGGATCGTAATGTGACGTGGTGATACTAACGCTCTGGAATTTCAGGCCGAGAAAGGATGATCTGCGGCGTGCTTAACTCGATCAAGCCTTTCATCTCTTGTCAGCTGATGTGGAAGTTAGACTCAAATGGGAACGAAGTCAGTCTGCTTATGGTTGATGTGCATGAAAACAGTCCTCAGACATTTCTTCAATAAATATCTAATTGATGGAAGGTATCATCCATAGTGTATGGAAAATTAAGATTGTGCAGGAGAAGGTTTTACCAGCTGACTGATCGAAGAAGAGTTATTAAGGATTAAAGACTTAAATGCCCAGACAAGGGATACTGGCATTTCAATTCACATATCTGATTCACGTTAACATTATCATTTACCGAGAGTATACCAACTCATGAGGGATACGTATTAGTCTTTGCTATCCTTTGATTTACATAATGATAATGCCAAAATCAACTATGTGCATTTAGGTTAGGAGCCAGAGCACCACAGAACGCAGCAGACGGCATCCAGCATCACTTACACTCAACGTCGAGGGTGATCCTTTTGCTGACTGAAGGAGGGACCCCGTTTGACGCGATGCACAGGTAGGCCCCCATGTGCGTCCTGCTCACTTGCTGCAGGGGAAGCTCCGGCCCGTCCATCTGCTGGACTGAGAGAGACATTTGGTTAGCGAGGATGACTTGAAGGAAAAGTAAAGTATGAAAAATAGGTGTGCAATGACTAGCACTGGGAGAAATACACAGAAAATGAAAAAAAATACAGCATTCAGTCATATTTATACAATTTATACAAACACTGATAATGAATATCAATCAAGAAAAATAAAAAAACAAAAAATAAGAAAATGTAACAACACATCCTGCCTTCGATGTTCTTGCACTTCTTGGCGGACGCTCTTTTGAACATATTCATAAGGATTATTTTGACTCCTGTTTTTATGATTATAATTGTTATCATTAATGTCGTTATCATCATCCTTATTATTAAGACAATGTCATCATTATTATCATTATAATCATTATCATAATCTTTATTTTTATCACCATTATTATTACCATCATTACTTTTAATGGTTAATGGTTAAAAGCAAGATAAATGTGCTAGACATCTAAGGTCATGTAGCACTATAGTAAATGTTAGTGAAGGTGGTTGAGTTAGTTAGTTGTCGAAACTGGGCACAGGAATTGGTGAGTGAATGGGTTAAGGTCGGGTGAGGTAATGTAAAGGGGTTATATTAGATGAAGGATATGTATGCGTTTGAGGAAAGAAACCAGACTGTCGAAGCAGAAAGTGTGGGATTCTGTAAGGATGTCTGATAGGTTGGGAGGTCGGTGAAGGGAGGATAGGTGGGGGAAAGCAGAGGTACGGGCTATCATTACTTTTATTACTATCATTATCATTATCTTTTGTTATAATTTTATTATCATTATTATCATAAGAATTATTGTTGATATCATCATCGCCGTTATTATATTATGATTGTTATTATTATTAGTAGTGTTTTTATTTTCATTATTATCTTTATTTTCATTATTATTGTTATTGTCATTGTTATTATTATCATTATTATCATCATCATCATCATTATTATTATCATTACTATTGTAGTGGATAATCAAAACAAAAGAACAGTAAAATAACATCACTGGCTGACTAAAAAGGCAACATAAAAAAGAGCATCTCTATTATACATTCATTACGCACAAATCTTTCTGAACATAACCAATACGCATGATAACACACCATACACTTATTTGATAAACAGAGGCAACCCGCCACAGCACGAGAAGCACCAGTCAGCCAGCTAAAAATCCAACGGTCTGTCACCACACAAGATAAAAGCCTCTCCCCTGACCGACCTGGCTTGCCCTTTTATACTGGTGGCTTCCCGCGCTTGGTGAGGTTTTACCCATAATGCTTTTGATTCAATTTACTAATCAGTGTATGGTGAGTCTAAAATAATCTCAAAAATACATAAGATAAAAAGAATAGTAAAACTATACAAAAATGGGCACAGGAAAGAATGAAAACGTGAAAGAAGGGATCCGTGAGGGAAAACGGGAAATTACGAAGAGAGAAACACAGCGAAGTTGAATTAGTCGAAGGAAAAAGGCAAGAGTAAGACAAGGTAAGTATGGAACATAAGGTAAGTAGTGTACTAGTAGTATTACGTATAGTAGAAGTAGTGTAGATGTAGATGTAGATCACGGACCAATGAGAAAGGTAAGTCAAAGGGTATGAAAACACAGGTTTATTCTTATAAAAAGAACAACAAATAAACACAGGAAAACAGGAAAACCACGTCATCTTGCAGGGCGGAGGAGACCGTTGATTTACTAGAGAGATTCGTAATCGTCAGGGGAACAGGCGGCCCTGAAGCCAGGGGAAATCCACTACAATTATTATTATTATTATTACTA